GGGGAGATGGTGGGCACCCTGACCTGAGGGGGAGGGGAGATGGTGGGCACCCTGACCTGAGGGGGAGGGGAAATGGTGGGCACCCTGACCTGAGGGGGAGGGGAGATGGTGGGCACCCTGACCTGCGGGGGAGGGGAGATGGTGGGCACCCTGACCTGAGGGGGAGGGGAGATGGTGGGCACCCTGACCTGAGGGGGAGGTGGGATGGTGGGCACCCTGACCTGAGGGGGAGGGGAGATGGTGGGCACCCTGACCTGAGGGGGAGGTGGGATGGTGGGCACCCTGACCTGAGGGGGAGGGGAGATGGTGGGCACCCTGACCTGGGGGGGAGGGGAGATGGTGGGCACCCTGACCTGAGGGGGAGGGGAGATGGTGGGCACCCTGACCTGAGGGGGAGGTGGGATGGTGGGCACCCTGACCTGAGGGGGAGGGGGATGGTGGGCACCCTGACCTGAGGGGGAGGGGAGACGGTGGGCACCCTGACCTGAGGGGGAGGGGGATGGTGGGCAGAGCGGGGGAAGGTGAGGTTCAGGAATCCCACCTTTGGCGTGTACACTTCAGGGCACAATGGAACTCTGTGGGGTTCTAGGGCCATCTTTAAGGGACCTAATTTTTCTTGTTTCCTTTTTTAAAAAAAATATTTTTATTGACTTCAGAGAGGAAGAGAAGGGAGAGAGAAACATCAATGATGAGAGAGAATCATTGACCAGCTGCCTCCTGCACGCCCCACACTGGGGATGGAGCCCACAACCCGGGCCTGTGCCCTTGACCAGAATTGAACCCGGGTCCCTCCAGCCTGCAGGCCGGTGCTCTACCCACTCAGCCAAACCGGACAGGGCTATGGACCTAATTTTTCTCCCACGGCTCTATGTGGGTGGAGAACTGCCCCCCCCCCCCCTTATCCTCTGGGCTGGAGGGAGGGGGGAGGGGTTCACTCTTAAGCATTTGCTTCTCTGCATGACGTCCAGCCTCTGTCGCTCTCCCTGTTCTGTTCTAGAACACCCAGGGTGGGCGCTCGAGGCCCGCGAGCAGAAAGAAGTCTGTGGTGCCCTCCAAGCCCATTCTGTCCCTTGTCTGCCTGCCCTGGGTCCCGGAGGCTGCCTAGTGCTCTCTCCATCCCCCTGGCTCCCTAGTCCCTGGTTCATGGTAGGGACCCGAGGGGGAGGGGGGCGGTGCTGGAGTCTGAGCAGCCCCCCTGCATCCTCTCTCCGCTCACGGACACCTGCACCGCCCCATCCACTCACCTCTGCCCCGGCTCCCTGGCTCCCTGGCTCCCTGCTCAGCCTCCTCATCAGCTCCAGGCTGATTTAGGCCCAAATCCGTCCCTCGGCCCAGACTCCTGAGGCGCCGCGACATCCTGGATGCCCAGCGTGTCCTTTCCCAGGGCTGCCATAACAACACCGCACGCTGGGTGGCTTAAGCAGCAGACATGCATGCATCTCCTCACAGTCTGGAGGCCAGAGCTGGAATCCAGGCTGTAGGCGGGGCCGCACTCCCTGGAAGGCTCTAGCGGAGGATCCTTCGTGGCCTCTTCCAGCCTCTGGCAGCCCCGGGCCTCCCCTAGCTGGTGGCAGCATCACTCTGATCTCCGGCTCTGCCTCCCCTCTGTGTGCCTCTCCCCCTTCTCCGAAGGACACCAGTGAGGGTGGATAAGCGCGCACCCTATCCCAGTATGACCTCATCTTAACCGATGGCGTCTCCACGTGAGGCCACACTCTGATGCGCTGAGGGGTAGGACATACCTTTTGGGGGAGGACAACATTCGCCCCATAGCTCCGACTGAGCGCCTTATAGTCGCCATATCCTAACTGACCCATGTCCCCAGCGGGAACCAGGGCAAGCCACCTGGTGTCGCCTAGGCGTCTCCCGTCCCCTGGGTGTCCAGGGAGGCAGCCAGGGTGCTGTGGCTCCCGGAGAGTCTGGGCTGAGTGGGGAGTTGGGCCTAAATCAGGTGGAGCTCCTGAGAGGTGGCAGGGAGGGAGCCAACGGCCTGGGCGCGTGGAGCAGTGCAGGTGCGAGATGCTGGGGGAGATCAAGGTCAGGCTAGATGATGCCCTCAGCCCCTGCGGTGTCCGCAGCTCCTCCAGCCACCCTGCCACTTAATTCTCTGTCAAATAAATGGCTTAATTCATTAACACACACACACACACACACACACACACACACACACACACACACACACACCCAAACCTGGCGACTACTAATTGTTTCTCTCTAGCTCTCTCTGCTGAACCAGGACCTGGTGTCCAGAAGCCTCCCGGGCGCTTCCCCTTGTGCCCCAGGCACTTCATGTCACCCACACCCCAGATCGCCCTCAGCACCCTCCGCCCTCCCTCCTGCAGGTCTCACCGCACCCCTCCACCCGGCCCGTCCTGGCTGCTTGCTCTCTGTGACTGCTGCCCACACTCTGTCACACTTGGGGCCTTTATTAAACTAGCAAACGCTCCTGTCACCCCACTGGAGAGGCCATCAGCTTGCTACCTGATGCAGCACCCACTCCCCCCTGCTTCCTCCAGGGCACCCCACACTACCACAGCTGCACACTGCAGTTCTGTTTGGCTTACCTCGGGGGTCTCTGTCATGGGCAGAGCTGCGTTTCTGGGAAAGGACCAGTGAGCGGAGGGCCTCACTGGGTCTTTGGCGCTCTGTGTGACTGGTGTGTGTGAGGGGAGCCGGGGAGGATTTCTGCGTCTGACGGTGCACAGTGAAGGCCAGACTCACCAGGGTGAGCCTCTGTGATTTCACCTCTCACTCAGCTGGCCGGGTTCAGTTCCACCTCAGGGCCTTTGAACTTGCTGTCCCCTTTGCCTGGGATGCCCTCCCCCCAGATATTCTCTGCTTTTCGTTTTTTTAAAAAAATATGTTTTTTACATTGATTTCTGAGAGAGAGAGGGAGAGAGAGATAGGAACATCAAGGATGAGAGAGAACCATGGATCGGCTGCCTCCTGCATGCCGCCCACTGGGGATCGAGCCCACAATCCGGAATCGAACCCGGGACCCTTCAGTCTGCAGGCTGACGCTCTAACCACTGAGCAAACCGGCTAGGGCAATACTCTCTGCTTTTCTCATTTCATTTGGACTCTGCTCAGATGGCACCTCCACCGAGAGGCCTTCCCTGACCACCACATACGTAACAGCCTCTCCTTCACCTCCATGCCTTTGCCTGCCTTCTTTTCCGTCACTCCTGACATTGTGTCTTTATTGATGGTCAGGCAACTCCCTTCCCCACTCGAGTGTCAGCTCCCTGAGGGCAGGGGTCTTGCCTGCTTTGCTCACTGCTGTACCCGCCCATGCCTCGACCAGTAACTGCCACAAAGTGGATGCACAATAAATGTTTGTGGACCAATGGAATAAAAGAACCTCTGACATTATATGCAGCGTTTTGTGCATATGTGTGTTTCCCTGGGCACCATACTTTTAAAAAATATATATTTTATTGATTTTTTACAGAGAAGAAAGGAGAGGGATAGAGAGTTAGAAACATCGACCAGCTGCCTCCTGCACACCCTCTACTGGGGATGTGCCCGCAACCAAGGTACACGCCCTTGACCGGAATCGAACCTGGGACCCTTCAGTCTGCAGGCTGACGCTCTATCCACTGAGCCAAACCGGTCAGGGCAGGACCATACTTTTTCATCACCTCTACTATGGGGTCTGGCACCCAAAGTTTAAGAATAACCATAAAGTTGGTCCTTGAAGACCTGTGGTCTAGCAGGGCAGGAGGGGGACCCCTGGAAAGAGCCAGAAGAAGGAGCCGGGGGGTCACGGTGGAAGCTGGGCCGGGAGGGCCAGTCCCCAGGAGACCGGTGTGGCGGACATACCAGGGGACCCCCTCCTGCTCCGCCTCCCGGGCAAACGCGGGTCCCCCTCCCCCACCAGCGGGGACTGGGGGGAGGGGGCAGGCGAGAAGACACAAACAGACACAGCGATTTCAAAGGCAACCGGCAACGCGCTTTATTAACCAGCGGGCAACACGTGGGCCCCGCCGTGCGCCAAAACAACTTAAAACCTGACCGGGGCTCGGATTCGCCCCTTAACATAAACGCTAGGCAACTGCCATTCCCAGCCGGCACGTTGTTGACTTCACTGTTAGCACCGGGAGGGAAAGCAAAACAACAAACCCGACCTTAAAGCAGACTGTGATTCGGTGGGGGCGGCGGGAGGTGGCGGCGAGAGGCCGGCCCACGCAGTCTGTCTGCCCGCGCCCGGCCCACGCCCTCCGGCTGGGGGAGAGGACCTCAGTGGTTTGCGTTGAGGGCAGAGCTCAGTAAAGCAGCGAAACGAACAGCCAACAGCCTGGGGGGAGGGGGGACCCGGTCAGGGGGGAGTTGGAGGGTGTCAGCTCACCTCAAGGCTCTCCACTCCCAGACATGGGGTCCTGCAGTGGGCCCCCCCCCTCCCCCAGCTCCTGATGGACGCGCTGATGGGGGGCTGGAGGGCAGGAGGGCGCCCTCCCTGTGGTTCACAATGAACCCGGGTCTGCAGGTGCTGAGGACGGTGGGCCAGGCTGGCCTGAAGTCTCAGTCCCATCTTGAAGTTCTCGGGCCGCGGGTCCAAGCCAGTCTTGTGCACTCTGCAAGTTGTGACGGCTGGCCTGGGAGAGCACCGCGGGCCCTGTGGGTCCCAGGACCCAAGGACTCCACAAGGAATGGAGCCCGGGGCTGGGGCTGAGAAGTCAGAGGGACAGAGCTGGTGTCCCCTAAAGATCCATGAGCTGTGGCCCAAAAGGAGCCATCGGGCGGTGTGGTCCAAGGGGCAGAGGTCCTGCTGCACCAAGAACCCACAGGCGCCCGCAGGACAGAACCCACAGGCTGAGCGGCCCCAGGGGCTGGGCCGGCCTGGCTCCCCGGCAGCCACCCTTGTCTCAGGATCCATCAGGGCTGGAGTTCTGGGGACCAGCAGTTCCAAAGGGCCGGGTGAGTCTGGGGAGGGTCCAGGAACGTCGTGGGGACTTAACCAGGATGGTTAGGGGTGCAGGGGTGGGGGCACCTCACGGTCCTCAGCGCTTGACCTTGCGGCCAGCCGAGTTGCGCCCACTGCGGCGGTAGAGAGACTGCTGGCCACCGTTGAGCGGGCAGTACTTGAGCGTGTGGGCCTGGCCGCCGGTGGCCCCGCACAGGGGACAGACGTAGTGCCGCAGGATGGGACACACCACCTCACCCTCCGGGGTCTTCAGCTGGTGCGAGGCGTAGACGTGGCGGGACTCCCCGTTGTGCTTACAGAAGTTGCACAGGGTGGCCGGGCCTCCGCTGGCCCCCGACCCTCCCTGCCCCGGCCCCGGCCCCGGCCCCGGCTCCGGCTCCGGCTCCGGCTCCAGCTGGGGCTGGGGTCTTGGCTCCCTCATGTCCTGGGCCTCGGGCCTTTGCCCCTGACTCTGGACCAGTGCCCACACCACCTGGCTGAGGTTGAAGTAGTCCTTCCACATGTCGAAGGGTGGCAGCTGCATGGCGCCCGGGTGGCGAGGCTGGGTGGCCGGAGAGAGGCTGGGCTGGGGGCTGGTGGCAGGAGCAGTGGGTGGTTTTCTGGAGCAGAGGAGAACTGCACCCCCTTTTATACTCCCCCAAAGACCCTTCCAAACAAAGGTGGAGCTTAGGATTTAAAGGGCCCACTCCCTGCCCATGACTCCTGTCTGACTAGCCCCCCGCGGAGATCGGGAAGGAGGCCGTTGCCCTGGTCTCTGGTTCTTGCTCTGCCTCTAAGCTGCTCTGTGGCCTCTGGGAACGCCCTTCCCCTCCCTGGGCCTCTGTTCCCGTGTCCATTCGATGGAGCAAATGTCCCTCACCCCCTCCTGGCTTCCTCCACGTGCTCCAGAGTCATCCCTAATAACAGTCCCGCCCCTGACTCCAAGCTGGGCACCGCCTCACAGTTGCTACACGATATGATTTCACCCTCACAGCAGCTCCACGTGGGGGCACAGTTATGCCCCCATTTGACGGGCAAACATTTGAAGCTCAGAGAGGGAGACTCATGGGCCCAGAGGCACGTAGCCTGCCAGTGGCAGAGCTGGGCTCTGACCCAGGTTTGTGGGACTCCGAAGCAAGTGCTCCCCTACCTTTCTTGAATAAATTAAAACCTCACGTCTTATGTCCTGAACTAGAAGCCACTTAGTAACTATTTATTGAGGGCACACTGCCGTGTTCAGGGGTTTTTTCCGTGTGTGTGTGTGTGTGTGTGTGTGTGTGTGTGTTTTATTCTCTGTGCCCGGTTTTGTTTGCAGCAGATTATATCCGACATAGAACTTAGTCGCAAACATTCAGCTGTGCAGTGAGGATGGTGCTTAAGTACAAATGGGTGATATGATTTCCTTTATTTATTTTTATTTTTAAAATATCTTTTTATTGATTTCAGAGAGGAAGGGAGCGGGAGAGAGGGACAGAAATTTCAGTGAGGAGAGATAATCATTGATCAGCTGCCTTCTGCAAGCCCCCCTGGGGATGGAATTCCGAACCTGGGCATGTGCCCTGACCGGGAATCGAACCATGACCGGGTTCATAGGTCACTGAGCCACGCTGGCCGGGCTGATTTCCTTTCTTTCTTTTTTTTAAATATCACAACCATGTCCAGTCTTTTTTTTTTTTACATTTTTATTGATTTCAGAGAGTAAGGGAGAGAGAAAGAGAGATAGAAACATCAATGATGAGCTGAAACCAGTTTGACTCAGTGGATAGAGCATCTGCCTGCGGACTGAGGGGTCCCGGGTTCGATTCCGGTCAAGGGCATGTGCCTTGGTTGCGGGCACATTCCCAGTGGGAGATGTGCAGGAGGCAGCTGATCGATGTTTCTCTCTCATCGATGTTTCTGGCTCTCTATCTCTCTCCCTTCCTCTTTGTAAAAAATCAATAAAATATATTTAAAAAAAAAGAAAAAAGAAACATCAATGATGAGAGGATCATTGAGCGGCTGCCTCCTGCACGCCCCCTATTGGGGATCGAGCCTGCAACCCGGGCATGTGGTCTTGACCGGAATCAAACCTGGGTCCCTTCAGTCCGCAGGCCGACGCTCTATCCATTGAGCCACACCAGCTAGGGCGCGGGCTGATTTCCTTTAAGTGAACTATCAGTACGGCCGGCCTTCGAGCACCTGGGCTGTAGGCCTGCGTGGTGGAGCAGCCCTGCCTGTGGACCCGGGAGGGCGACAGTGTCCCCCCCCCATCTATGCTTGGAATCAGGGTGCCAGTGGTCCTCATCACAAGGAACCGGTTCTAGAGCCTCCCCAGCGCTCTACCCATGATGCCGCTGGGCACGAACACTGGAGTTTCTGGAAGATCAATGGTCTGTAACAGTGACGTCGTCTCTGTGGCTCTCCTGGTCCCCGTGTCTAGGCATGGAGCACACCCCGGTGGCTTTATTCAGCTCATCGTACAGGACCAGCAAAAGGCTCTACCCGGGCCCCTGAGGGCGCTGGACCAGGCGCCCTTGAAGAAGGCCCTGCCCCCCCTGTCCTTGAAGATCTCCTGCCAGCCGTCCACGGTCCCCCCGCACGTGCTGTCCGCCCCTTCGTGCCCCCACTGCACCATCATCAACTCCGCAGGGTGTTGAAGGGGTAGGAGACCAGGCCGGCCACGGCCGTCACCGCCATCCAGCTCACCGCCATGTGGGTGTTCCTGGGGCCCGGGGGCATGCCTCTGGCCGTGCTGCACAAGCCCAAGTAGGCAGCCCGGGAGCTACTGCCCGCGCCAACACTGAAGCCCTGGCACAGATCCAGGATGCCCTCAGACTTGGCGATTTTCTTTTTTTAAAAATATATTTTAGCCGTAACTGGTTTGGCTCAGTGGATAGAGCGTCGGCCTGCGGACTGAAGGGTCCCAGGTTCGATTCCGGTCAAGGGCATGTACCTTGGTTGCGGGCACATCCCCAGTAGGGGGTGTGCAGGAGGCAGCTGATCGATGTTTCTCTCTCATCGATGTTTCTAACTCTCTATCTCTCTCCCTTCCTCTCTGTAAAAAATCAATAAAATATATTTTTTTTATTTATTTATTTATTTATTTATTTATTTATTTATTTATTTAAATATATTTTATTGATTTTTTACAGAGAGGAAGGAAGAGGGATAGAGAGTTAGAAACATCGATGAGAAAGAGAGAGAGAAACATCGATCAGCTGCCTCCGGCACACCCCCTACTGGGGATGTTGCCCGCAAACAAGGTACATGCCCTTGACCGGAATCGAACCTGGGACCTTTCAGTCCTCAGGCCGACACTCTATCCACTGAGCCACACCGGTTAGGGCATACTTGGTGATTTTCACCAGACAGTTACAAGCCCTTGAACTCCACTCAATTCTAAATTTCCCCACATCGGCTGCCAGATGGGCTCTGGCGAAATCCAGGGGTGGATGAAGCAGAGGGAGGTGGCTCCATGGCACCACTGCAGGCCGGGTTGCCAGCAATATTCCTCCAGAACTGCATGTGCTAGTCCACGCCCCCAGGAAGACCTGCTTGTACCTACCCTGGAAGGCGAAGTTAAGGGCTCACGTGGGGAGGTAGCGGATGACGTTGGCCAGGTCGTCCTTCCAGAAGGAAGCATGCCCTGCTCCTTGGGAATGCGCACGGTGCAGTCCCCGATGCCCAGGTACCGCTTGTCCACTGAGATCTGCTTGCTGGTGCTGTGCCTGAAGCGGCAGGTTGGCCGGCTCCATTGGGGGCTACGGCGATGCCTCAGGCCAGAAGTCCTTGGCAAAGGAGATGGCCTGGTCTGTCTTGGTTGCCCAGTGGGCCATGCAGAGGGCACAGAGTGGAGTACAGGTGCAGATACACGGAGGGTGGGTGCTGCTGGCTCAGCACTGCCACTGTAGGACCAAAAGGGGTTCATCTATATATATAAAAGGCTAATATGCTAAGTGTCCAACCGTCCAACCAGTTGCTATGACGCGCACTGACCACCAGGGGGGCAGATGCTCAATGCAGGAGCTGCCGTGATGCGCACTGGCCATTTACAGAGAAATGGCACCGCGGACCTGGCGCCCACAAACCAACACTGGTCTTCCCCCAAGTGGGGCACAGGCCCCGGCACCACCCTGGAGAGACACCCCACCAAATTGCAGCCAACGCTGCCAAGACCTCATGGCGCAAAATGCGGCCCACAGCCCAGCCCAGCCTGGAAATGGTGGCTGTGGGCGCCGGGTAATGATGTTACGTAGCAACCCCCGGCTTCCTCTCCCTAGCGACTAGCTTCCTTGGAGCTTTTTCAGCCCAGGAACAGGACTTGCTTTATAGCCAGGTGCAAACATTGTACACTGAAACCAAATGTCTGTGAAGCGTTTTCCCGTGCCTCATCTCATTTGATGCTCACAGAAGTCCTGGGGTAGGTAGATAGGAGACTTGGTAGAATCCTATTTTCTTTTCATTAGCCGGAAAACGGAGATTTAGAAAGCTTAGAAACTTGACCCGATTGAAAAGAAGTAAGAAATGGTGGCCGAAACCGGTTTGGCTCAGTGGATAGAGCGTCGGCCTGCGGACTGAGAGGTCCCGGGTTCGATTCCGGTCAAGGGCATGTACCTGGGTTGCGGGCACATCCCCAGTAGGAGATGTGCAGGAGGCAGCTGATCGATGTTTCTCTCTCATCGATGTTTCTTACTCTCTATCTCTCTCCCTTCCTCTCTGTAAAAGATCAATAAAATATATTTAAAAAAAAAAAAAAAGAAATGGTGGACGTTCAAAATGACTTCAGTTTTTCTCGCTGTGCAGATTATAGTCAAACACTGCTGCAGTGAAATATTTTACCCTTTGTTCTCCCTGTGGGATCTACAATAATAATCTGCTTTGTGTTGATATTTACTGCTGTGTTGCTGACAATTACCTGAAAGAGAAGTTGGGGTCCTTCACTGGCCTGGAAAAAGTTTAGCTACATCAGACAGCAGGCCTAATTAAGCAAGTTTATTCTCTATATATAAAGGGCTAAGTTGACTCACGCATGCACAGTACATACAAAGCTCTCGCCGGCGCCAATCGCACGCATGTGTTTCAACCTGTCCTTGTCAATCGTGAATTTGGTTGACACTTCTATTATAGAGAAAGGGCGAATAGCAATAGTCACATATTTCTTCTAATTAATTTCCTTTCAATGTGCATGAATTAGTGCACAGGGCCACTAGTTGTTTGATATACATGATCTATAAACATGATTTGGACCTCATAACCACTCAAGGAGGTAGACACTATCATTTCCAATTTACAGAGAAGGCTGTGCACCTCAGAGAGGTTAAGGAATGTACCCAAGGTCACACAGCAGGGAAATGACAGAGTTGGGATCCACACCAGGCCTGGGTCTGGAAACACTGGGGCTTGATCTTAGAAGTGACCACCGTGACCACCCAAAAGTCAGTGAGGCCCCCTGTGTTGGGCACTGGAAATTCAGCAGCCACCATGGCTACCTTGTGCCTGTTTCATGGGCAACCAGTCCATCCTGGGAACAGCCAGCAAATGAGAAAACATTAGACCGTAACCACC